TTTATACTTAATTTATTTGACGATTTTTGATTTACATCACGAATTATACTATAGCACATTTCTAATAAGTTCAACGAATTACACGTCATTTATTTGAATTCAAATTTATTTTAATGACTTAGTATTTACTAAAAATGGATTGTATATGGATTTGAATGATTGTTTTGAATTCTTAGAATTGTGTGCATTTGCAATGTACCTAAGTTAGTAACGAGCGAAGCGATCTTGGTACGCGAAGCAAACCATATAAGATTGCGTAGCAATTTTCAGGGGTTGGCGAGCGTTAGCGCGCAGGGGACGCAGCCCACTAGTATTAAGAAAAACTGTACAATTATATGAAAATACTGTTGTCAAAATATTTGATGCGTTTTAAAAGGAACTGCATTATACATCAAAAATAATGTGCAAAGAACAACTGGTAACTAATTTATTTCCTTCCTTCATATTTCTTAGAACATAACTCCTCTGGATATGTTCAAGATAGCTGAAAAATTCTTTACGTCTATTGGCTTGAAGCCTATGCCACCAGAATTCTGGAATAAATCCATTATCGAAAAGCCCCTCAACAGAGAAATGGTGTGCCACCCCTCTGCTTGGTATTTCTTTGATGGAAACGATGTTAGGTGAGATGGAGACAATGTTTTCTTTTTTATTGTGAACAATAATTTTCAAATTTGAAATAGAATTTATAAATATTTCTTCAAATTTCAATTGTGATTAATAAGTTATTAATGTTTAAAACGCTGATTATTTTATAAAATGCTATTGTCATGAAAAGATTATTTAGTGATTAACAAATAATGACAACAAAAATATATAATACAATTTGGGTTCTTATCACGGTCAAAACTGAGATTGAAAAGAGGACACACAGAGATACAAATTACTAACAAGTTACAAGAAGGAAACAGAGAAAATATGAATTGGATTGGAGAAAATATTCAACAATGGTTACCAGTCCTCAGACACCAACCTTGATTTCATTTCAGATTTTGAAATATTTCATCGATAATTACTTTTCCAGTATCGTTTTCTTTCCAGATGTTTAGAAATCTGTTTTCTTCTCCATCCAAATCTGATTCTCTCCTCCAAAACATCCCTTCTTTTATTCGATTATCTTTTTTGATCTTGTTCCTCTACTCTGTTAAGCATCTTTCTCTTCCTTGTCGTAATTTATTTGCAATTTTCTTCTGCATCTTTCTGTTTCCTTCTTTTTCTTCTGAGTTTCAACTTTGAAGCTGCATTTTTACTATCGAATCTAAAGCCTATATTAAATGTCTGTTCTGAATATATGTTTATGCATTTTAAATGAGGCTTCAAATTCAAATATTACAAATCAATAATTAATTTCGAGCTCTTATTTCATTATAAAAGGGCTAAATTCATAATAATTGATGAAATACTACTTGAATTTGGTATGAACCAATTAAAAAGAAGATTGGGAAAAGATACTAAGTGAAATTTTAGTGAGTTTGAATAATTTAACTTGATGTTAATGCTTTCCTCTTTAGTGTCTCTGAAGAAGAAAGGTTTATGCTTTGCCTTTTTCGCAAACTACCATTTGGCAAAATTCCAACATTCATTTGAACTGCCCTAGTCTTAACTTATGCACAATGGATATTTTAATGCGTCTCTGTTTAGCACTATTCTTTCGTAACACATAACAAATACTTCTTTTTTCAAAACTTTTTTGACCGTGATCTTTCAAAATGTTTAATAATTTCGACTTAGATAATTTTTTAAAGATAATGCAATGAGTTATTGTATTGGTTTTATATAATTTATGTACATGAAAATTATGACCACTCCGAACATTCTCATTGTAAAAAGAAATCGTTAGGTATGATGTAGCTTTTTCATTAAAGATCAAGCTATCTTTTGTTGCCACCAGTAAAAAATTAATGAAAGTTATAAATGTATTGTTTGCCTATAAAATATTCTTTATCCCCAATTTAATGGGATTTACTTATCATATTTATTTATCCTATTTTCTCACTAAATATTCGATTTTGTTCATTATTCCAAATAAAAAGAACGAAAATAAAAGCGGCGTATCTTTATTAAAAGGCATTTCTATGGTATTACCTCTTTTCTCAGCATTTAATGATAAACTTATTTAAATCTGTATCTATAATTTTTACTCGTTTTGTAATTTTTAAATAAAAAATACGTTATATTTACTTTTATCAATCTTGCGAAAAAATGTGCCTAGTTAGCATACGTTATTAAAATAGCGAATATTTATAATTCATGAATTAGGCATAGACTCTTATCCCCAGTACTTAATAATCTCGTGGGACAAAAACATTTAACGCGTTCTTAAAGTAACCAAAAATTAAATTGGAAGTATAAAAAAATGGCAACCAAGTAGAATAATTAGATTAAATTTTAATTCGAAGGAATCGGAAACTAAATTCGTGAAACAAAATCTCAATTCATACGATTGAACATTTCGAGATATTACAACTAAACACTTCTTAATTTAGTTATAACAAGTCGTTCATCGTAAAGCGATAAAATCTGATTGAAGAAAAAGGGAATGATGAGAGAGGCGATCAGAAAGCAGAGCACCTTAATTTAGAAATAAATATTTTGATTTAATTTGTTTAAGTCAGAAATTTAAATCAATGTAATTTTTCGTGTAGAGCATAATTGTAAGTAATGGACAGTATTCCACAGCATGAGTAGTTTATTGCTTTTTTCAGAATTAAGATGTGCACTTCAGTTGATATGGATAACTTAGCCACTGTGCATCATGAAATGGGACACATAGAATACTACTTGCATGTACAAGATCTTTCTCTTTATCAGAGACATGGAGCTCATCCAGGTATAATTTCCTGTTTAGGAAAACATTATAAAAAAATAGAATATTTTACACTTAACTAAATTTATCTGCAACTTAATCTCTGCTCTTAAGAATAAAATAAAAAATTTACCGATAGTAACACGGGAACTGACGAGCTACTATCGCAGTTTTCGAGTATTAGTTACTTTATAATTTATCTATATAAACAGCACTATGAATAGATGCATAAATATTGACATGGAAACTGTTACTTTTTATTCATCAAAATTAAGTGGGGATGGCTCAAGGAATTAAGCACTCCCCTCCCAATAAGGTGACCCAGGTTCGAATCCCAGCGATGACTGCTCGATACACCTTCTTGACCACAGTGCTAACGTAAAATATATTCAGTGGTAAGTCGACCATAGAGTCCTCTTGTCTTGTCGTAACTGCGGGAAATTTTAGTATTTTTCCTTTTCATGTAAAGCAAATACGGAATATTTCTATCAAGAATTGGTTTAGCAATACCAGATTCCAGGAGTTCCCTTGTCTTCAGGGTTTTGTACAAAATTACAAGGCTACGGAGTTGAATTTTAACTTTGATATTATTAAACTCACTTTTGTACTGATGTAAGCTCATAATTAGGTCAATGTAATGTCTTCTCTAAAATAAAATAAGGAATCAACCTATAGTAGCTCAAGAACTAGCACAGCTGACTTATTTTACAGTTTATATGCACTTAATGGAGTTGAAGCAGTATAGTTATAGAGCTACACAATACACGACGGTGATATTTTTTAATCAATCTCTTGCGTAGTATTGTTACCAGATAAGTACTTTACGATTTTTTTCAATCTTCTACTGGATAGCAGCACAATACTCAGAAACCTAAGTGTTAAAATGGAAACTGCGCTATTTAACGATTAAAACGTTCTCCAAAACTACTTGAAAATTATTTTTATCATTATTTTGAGCAAAGGCTTTCATTCCAATAATGGTACTGCAGTGATATCCACCATTTTATGCTACTTAGTATGCAAGTAAAATCAAAGAAACGGAAATAAACTGTTAAAACTGCATTATTTCAGAATGAACTTTCGCTTAATCATCTTGAAAGATTTCTCCTGTACAGTTTTGTACTGTACCCTGTACCGTTTGCTATATCTTTCATATGCTCTTGCATACATACCCCTTCCATACATAATATCACAAAAGGTATAATCAAGGAAGTAGTTTCTTATGTATAATATGCATGTCATGTATTACTTTTAGTAGTTGCATTAGTTTTATGTAGTTGAGTCAGATAAAATTTATATTTCAATGGCTGTAAGTAGCTATTAATAAATAGTATGTGCCACTACGTCAAAATCAAAGAGTAACTATTAATAAATAGTATGTGACACAACTTCAAACTCAAAAAAAAACTATACACGTACGTAATTGAGTCTTATTCAGGTTTTATTCATGCCATGAGTTTTGTGGAAACGCCACTATCTTCGAGGAAAACTTATTTCTGTTAAAATTATCGCCAACAAAACTTAATTTACAATAGCATACTATTTTCTCTAGTAAATACGGTGATTTTGACGGTTTAACAATTAAAAAAAACTCATATTTTCACTGCAATCATTCAAAAGACATCGCATAACAATAGATCCGTGTCAACTACAATTAGAATTGTCTACTGCATAAATGTTACATTAAAAGCGTATCTTTAGTTCAAACTTTTTGTTAGAACTTAGATGTAACCAATTGACACAAAAAAAAAGGATTAAACGAACACATTTTGGAGATAGGTTTCCTTATCTCTGTTTTTAAGTGTTGTTATTTAAGGTTAAATTTTTATTCAAATCATACATAACTACTAATTTAATGGAGTCCAATTCTTGTGTGAATATCGGAAATTTGGTTGTTGAAATAAATGATGAAATTTTCCAATCACGTAGAAACAACCGTAATAAATGTTTTCACGTTTTGTTTTCGTGTTGTAAGGCCATCTTAAGACAAATTCACTTGATTTATTGAAAAATGATGTTGATGATTTTTTATGTAAATTCCCGAAAGAAGAAGTTTTACATGCATTTCTTTTGCTATAAGTTTGACAAATACTAATTCTCAAACTAACTAATGTTAAGTTTCTTATTCCATCGTATTACTTGTACGTTTTTCTACAGTCTCCGTAATTTTTTTAAGTTAAAAAGTTTTTGATCAGCAAAGCAAAATTTAATTTAAAATGCCCACCCTAAACAACGTTGAGGTCTCTAACGATTTTGTGATAGAGAGAGATTATTTAATCGTTTTTCACCTTTGCTTTTAGCATTTCATGAAGCTGTTGGTGACCTGATAGCTCTTTCTGTAACAACCACTGATTATTTAGAACGAATTGGTCTCTTAGAAGAAGCTACAGACGATCCAGGTAATTTGATCAACATGACCAAGAGCAAAAAACAACATTTATGATTTTCAAAATAGAGTTCAATGTAAACAAAATTATTTAATAATTTTACTATGAGTGTATACATTCAACTAGAAATGAAACTGTATTTGCCTTTTTTCTTCTTGGATCTTTTTTCTATTCAGTCATGGTATGGTTCTTTAGTGTCACATAAAATCTTTATGCTAAACTTACTGAAATAAAAAGATGCATATAAATTACTTTAAAAGAGTAATTAAGTAAATTATATCATAGAGTCTATTCCAAATTAAAAACTTTAAGTAATTAATTATTATGGTTTTTTTCATTTCTAGCAAATGCAACATAAAGCTTTTATATGATATTAAACATAGAAATTTGTAAAATAGAACAGAAAGGAATTTTTAAAAAAAAAAGACTTTGTTGCCTTTTCAAAGATAATTCCTAAAATATTACTAGAACACTATTTTAGCAATTTCATTGTAAAACATTTGAATATAATTCAAATAAAAATTTATTTATAATATTTAATAACTATGGTAACTAGTATTTCCGAACTTAAAGCTTTTACTTCAGGGAAATCATTGTTTCCTTTTAAAATAAACAACTTATTATTTAGTAGAAAATGCGAATTACTGATACAATTATTTATTCTACCATTAAAATTTTAATTTAAAACAAATGTTTTGTACTAATAAGCTAATTTATTTGTTCTACAGAAACTGAAATCAATATTCTACTTTACATGGCATTAGAAAAAATAGCATTTCAGCCACATGGACTGATCGTAGATCTTTGGCGATCGAATATTTTTAATGGGTCTACAGACAAAAGTGAACTCAATAAAGCTTGGTGGAAATTAAGGTAAAGCATAAAAATACGCCTGTTAGCTTTTTGATTTCTATTCAGCTGCTGCTTCTTTTCATAACTATTTATTAGCGGAGCCTAGTGCTTTCGTATATATATATATATAAAACCAAATTTCTGAATTTATTTAAAATTTATTAAATTTCATAATTTCATTTAAAATTTTATTCATTTTATTCATTATCTAAAAAACTTATCTGCAATGATAATCTGCAATTTAATTATCTGCATTGTTATTAATTATACAAATTAAATTTTAAGTGCTAAAAAAGTCCCTAAATTTAGAGCCATTTTGCAGGAAAGTCCCTTAAGAGATATAATATCTCTCTCTATATAAGTGTGTGTGTGAGAGAGAGAGAGATCATATATATCTCTCTATAAGTGACTTTCTTGCAGAATGGCTCTAAATTCAGGGACTTTTTTAGCACTTAAAATTTAATTTTGTATAATCCACAACAGAGCACATAATTAAATTGCAGACTATTATTGTAGATACGTTTTTTAGATAATGAATAAAATTATGAGAATTTTAAATGAATAAATCATTTTAAATTAAATTTAATAAATTTTAGATAAATTTAGAAATTTGGTTCAGTAAGACATCAATGCATTTGATGACCTTTATTTTGGCAAGACGCGTTTAATGTTTTATGTCATCATGCTAAAAAAGCAGGTAGAATACAAAAAATGACCTTAAAAAGTGAAACTATATTTATCATACTTTACGTCTTTTACCATAATCATTTTAGGCGCTAAACTAAAATCATTGAAAATTCTTAAAAATTTTGCAACAAATATTCACCTATGTGGTCTGAATTTTACATGTCCATCATTTCTGCAATCTATATTAATAAAATGTATAGTTTGCCTGTGTATCTTTCTCCCGTATAACTCCGAAACTATTCATGCAGTGTCCTCAAAGTTTGGACAGTGAAGAAAAAGTGTAATTTTCAGCCCCCAATCCTAAAAATAGTTCAAAAATCTTCTAGATCGTTCAGGAGAGAGATTTATTAATTTTCTCATTCGTTTACATCTAGCTCCATTTATATGAACAAAACTAGAGACTATACTGATCTTTTTTTCCAAATATTTTTAAGATAGCATCAATGATGTTCACTGTTTTAAAGATCTCATTAACCAAAAATAGAATTTTATGACATTCTTAGATATTTAAATATTTTATATTCGTTGCATCATAAATATTCATTGCGTTGTATCATATTAAAATTCTTAACAATAAAATTTTCATTGGATTCCACGATAAAAGGAAGTATTTTAAATTTAATGTAATTAGTTTAACACATTCTAATTCCAACCTTTACTTTAAGATTTTTAAGAAAAATACTTTTATTAGTCACACTATTAGGTTTAAATTTATTTGTAATAATAAAACAGATTTTCTTTCAGCTGTATGGACTTTCAGGATTACCTTAAAGAATAATAGTTTTCATTTTAATTGTTATATTTTTGATGTTTTAGTTCAAAATATTTTAAAAACGTTCAAATAGCTCGGCCGATATTGAAGGCCGCATAAATAGGCAGTGAAATTTAGGATTTCGTTTCCAAAGCAGATGGCAGCACTTTTTTAAAAAAAATTTTTGCTCATTGAATATATTTTTGTTTTATTGTTCAAGATTTACAAATAGGGATCAGCACGTGATTTATTTATATTATTTTCTTACTGATTTGGCAATTTCTATTTCATTCTTACTGTTACTGTAACTATTTTTTATTTACAAGTGGGAGTTTCATTTTCAAATCTTACTATGTGTACTTTTAAGTAGTGTTTGGTGGTTCATTATTTTTCCGTGCTTTTCAATTCTTGTAATAATTTTCTCTCATTTGTCTATCCATTACGGGGTCTCGGGGCACTGTCAGCTTTGGTTTTTCTACTGACAACACAGAGGCTCCAGGCTCCAGTGTGCTGGCAGGCAGTGTATCCCCAACAGTGTATATAATTATATGCATATATATATATATAAATTCAAACTTTTGTTATAACATTTATACTGAAAGAAAAGAATTCTAGTAGTAAAATAATGGTTTCGATAAGTAAGGAAGTAACAAGNATATATATATATTCTTTCCGGTCTTAGAGCCACTTCTTGCGAGAGATTCAATACGGTTGGAACATACTTGTATTAAATGTTTCATTGCTCTGGAATAGCTACGCAAGGAAAAAGGTTCGATTTATAATTTTTTTTAAATTGTAAAACCGGTCATAATTAAGTTTATGTGTTACACCTTTGATTTTTGAACTAATCTTTTTATTTATCTCTTATGTTCAGTTGAATATATGCAATTCATATTTATGATTGTTCGAGTTTTTTTCTCTAACTCATTCTACTTCCAATGATCCAAGTTTGACTGTAATATAATATTTATTCTTGATATTCTTTCAGGCTCGATTATCAGGGGGTGTGTCCTCCGGTTTTACGAAGTGAAGATGATTTTGATGCTGGTGCATTGTACCACGTAGGAGCCGATATAACTTACTTAAGGTATTTATTTTAATAATTTCAGAAATGAGAAAAAAAATTATTCCTCAACCATGAAATTAAATATCTTACGAGACTTAATAGAAGACCATTTTAATGTGCGGATTTTGAATTAAAAAAGGACTGGGTAAAGGGAAAAATATTAAGACATCTGACAGAAAAAAAATTGCGTATGAACAACTGCGAATGTACAGTGTGCAAAATAAAAAAAATAGACCACCGGCTAAACGGCTGATCAATTGATGCTAATTAAATAGCAGAAGATATTTTGAAATCAGGCACATAACCTACTTTCTGAGTAAATATGCCTTTTTTCGACTGATTTAGATTTCTGACTACCAAAATGTAGGGGTAGCCGCAATCTGGGAAATATGGTCCCAATCATTTGCTCAGGAGAGCGGTCCAAAGTTTGGAGCTCTTATAGTTATTTTTTCTTTTTGCGTATATCATCCTATTTCGAGAACCTTTTAAGTGAATTGAGACATTTTTGTGTACAATTATAAAATTCGTTTACCCAACGATATTTCCACGCAAAAATAAATTTTAGTAAATATTTATTATTTATTATTGTTTTGTAAAATAATAGTCGAAAAAGGTATAAAAATTGAAAGGTATAAAAACTTTTGAATCTTCGAAAAAGGTATAAAGGTTTAAAGGTAAAATTTGAGCAAAATTGGCTGAATAGCTCCTGAGGAATTTAATTCTAAAGAAGTCTCCTATTTAAAATTCGATTTCTCAGAAACTATTCGACGAGTTTCCTCAAATTTGTATTTTAACACGCAAAATTATGTATTTTTAGGTGACGTAAAAACACTAAATGCCTTACAATTCAAATTTTTTTCGAGTTTTCTTAAATAAAATAATTAAAAAAATTTTACTAAAATTTTTTTACAAGGAATTTTCTTATCTTTGGATAAACGACCTTTTTAATAATGTACAAAAAATTTCAATTTGCTCAGAAAATTCTCGACATATGGCAAAATGCGCAAAAAGTGAAATTAACATTAAGGAGACTTAACTTTTTATTGCTCTTCTAACCAAACTATGGGGACCATATTTCCCAGATTGCGGCTGATCTCTATATTTTGCGGATCAGAAGTCTGATTCCTTTGTAAAAAGATATGTTTATTCAGAGAAAGCACGTTTTTGTGTCTGATTTCGTAACTTAAAATATCATCTGCGCTAATTAAATAGCACATTTCAGACGACCCCTTCTTAAGAATCAGTCCTAGAATGTGAAGATCCGATCATTAAATCAAAAGTTATTCAGGGAGGTACGTGTTTTTTTTTTATTTAATTTTTTTTTCTTTTGCGAACTGTACTTTATGTATGATTTCAGGCGGAAACAACTAAGTTAAAAATGTTTCCGAGATCTACAAGAGACCTGCCAAATTTAAAATTTCAATTAGTAATTTCAAGTAATTCCCTGTGATAATTCTCGAGTGTTAAAAAATCTTTCCCCATGAGTGAGGTTTTAACATTTATAATAAAAAAATATGATGTCAAACTTTTTAATTTTCCTTAAATGATTTTTTAGCAATGAATTGAGGATTTTTTTTTATTTGAATTGAATTTAAAATATTTATATCAGTTATTTAACATCATTACCAAATATTAACTTGAATTATCTCAAAACGTTGCATTATGGAATGAGCAAGAAAAGTTAAATTTTATATCGAAAAATAGGTTTATCACGCTCTAACAAATCTTTAAGGAATTTATAAGTCAGTGTCGGGCCTCGTTAATTAGAAATAGCTCAACACGAGTTTTTACTGAAGACGAAATAAAACATTTTCCTCGTTACACTATCTTAGGAAACAATAAAAATTGCATTCTTTTATACGAACATAGAAACAAGCTACTTGCACTTAAGATGAAGTAAATATTGTGCCTAATGAAAAAAAATCCCTTACTGTGACATTTAAGGCTGCCTTCATCGCTGTAAGAAAGTTTTTACTTTTTATGAACTAGACAAATGTGATTAATGCATTTTGTTTTGTAACAAAGTAGAGAGGTTATCGTTAATTCATATGAATCTGCACTTGGTAACATCCCAAACGGAGCACTTGAGCAGGCTTTGACTTTAGATATCGAGGTATATGATACCGTTCTAAATGCTGACCCTGAGAAAAGAGAAAAGATTTCCATTCTTTCACAGCTGATGTTGAAATTTTATATGCTATTTTTTTATGCTACAAATGCGAATCCATCGGAAAAAAATCGATGTTAATCTGGAGAAAGTATAGTTTTTGAATCTAAATCCATAACTTAGGATATTGTTTGTTGAGCTTGTATATTCTAATTTTATCTCTCAAAACATTACAATTTCATTCCAGAACGTATAAATCCGATAATTAGACCATAAGTTATTTGGATGTCCCACTTTTTTTATTTCGCTCACTGTATACATGTTTATATTTCTTTAATTTTTTATTGACACAATAATTCAAAAATAATGTTACCTAAAATAAGTATAAAAGAAGAAATCTAAATTTTTTTATAAATACAAAGTCTTATAATCTGAGATAATAGTATTTGTAAATAAAGTAAACCAACTATTGTAACTTTATATAAAATGAGACATTAAGAATTTAGAAAAGTTATTATTGTTATTGCTACTGCTTTTTTGCATTTTTTTGTCACATCAAGAATAATGAAATATTTTTTATATAATTTTCAGGTATTTTGCAAGTATAATAGTTCAATTTCAATTTCATCAAGCTCTTTGTGAGGAAGCCGGCCACAAAGGCCCTCTACATAAATGCAGTATATATAAAAACAAAAAGGCAGGAAAACTTCTAAGGTAATTATCGCAACATTAATTAAAACAGTAACTAAATTTCTTTTGAAACTACACTATTTTGAACACTCCAAAAAAATTTTATTATCTTGGCATTTTAACAAAAATATGTCTCGTAAGTATTGTTTATTGCCCAAGCTTCCAAATAATGTGGTAAAAAAGGATCATTTCGACAAAAGCGAAGCTCCTTAAGCCTGACTTCAGAGACTATTGCCTGGCTACAGTTTCTGAATATCTTTTATTTATCTTTCTTAATTTTTAGCTGTAAACTCATAAACAATATTAAATACATCCAAAAATATTTTACTTAATATTTCTTTCAAACAATAAGTGTTACACTTCTAAACCGAAAAAAAGATAAGTTTGAATATTCTTTCAGATTTTCAAGTTTAATTACTAACCACCGACGTTAAATAAATAAATACACATTTTTCAAGAAATAAAAATGTAAAGTTATTTTTAAATCAGAACCGCAGAATAGATTTTTAACCATTCGATTGTCTATTCTTGACATTAAATAAAATTTTGTTTTCTAAACTGTTATTTCGTTAAAACTAAACATACTGAAGAACTTTTTTTAAAAAAAGTAAGATATTATTTCGTTTTCAGTGACATGCTCAAATTGGGTAGCTCAGTACCATGGACAGAAGCCATGAAACTGATAACAAAAGGAAAAACTGATAAAATGGATTCTGCCTCAATTCTGGAATATTTTCAACCTCTATATGCCTGGTTAAAAAAGCAAAACAGGAATGAATTTGTAGGGTGGAACACTAGTGGCGATCCTATGAAGTGTCCATAGTAAAGATTAAAAATGGAACTCAATTTTATGTGTCTAAATTTTAGGTATCTAAATTACATTATGGATTTGTAGTTGTTGTTGTCGTATACCAGTATACCATTATATAGTATATCAAGAGGGTGCGCTTCTTCTTATTTTCCAGTGGTGCCATCTATGGCCAAGATTTCGACTTTGTCCACATATATACGTCAAAACCCGTTTATAGGGCGGACCCATTAATACATCCACAGATCATAATTTTGCCCTGAACCAGATAATGGTCAATCTCCAATTGATTTATTGAGGGAACATGGAGGATTTTGTGATCCAACAGATTCCTATTATAGATTCCCATTCCTATTATAGATTCGCATATCTATAAAACACTAACAATTCTCGTGATTTCCGGTTGATGGTATGACTCAGTTAAAGTCAAGACTTTAAATAATATTGTCTACATTTATATGTTTTTCTTAATTAGATCTTTCTGTGTTCCGCCGTTTTTGTGTAAAAAAAAGGATGATTTTTCGCTTAACATTTGCATATATATTATTAATTTTTTTATTACAAAATATTTTATGTCTGAAATCATTTACTATTAAAGCTATTGACGATTAAATAAAATAATTTGAAATATTCTGTTTCGTGTTGTTTTATGTACGGATTGAGTGTCCAATGATTCAAAAAATGTTCTAGTTTCTAAGATTGTTTAAGAAACCAATCTCTTCGTCAAGCACTACAACAAAGTTGTTTAAGAAATCCTTTTAACAATCAAACATGCATAATCAAACGTTCATTTATGTACTAACTTCATTTAATTGTGCCAAAACTATTAAACTAATCCAGCACTTTATAAATGGCACAGTCCAACCTTTTCTCGGAAAAACTAGATCAAAACAAAACAAAATCGGCATCTATTGAATTTGTGAATTCAAACATTTTATCAACTTCAATGCATCTGAAGATAAATATTTTATTCTCAGATGAATTTTTATAACCGTCGTTAAACAACAGACCCAATTCTGGGTTTACGACAACCAATGTTCAACTCCGTAGCCTTGTAATTTTGAACTCAATCCAGAAGACAAGGGAACTCCTGAATCAGTACCCCCAGACGTAGTGATTTGTTATGGAAACTTGGAGGACTTTTTGAGCCCGACAGATTCAAAGTGCATCAGTCACCATTTACTACACCGAGGGTTTTCGGTCTGCGGGAATCGAACTCACGACCTATTGGACATGGGCCCAGTGCCCTACCAACCAGGCAATCCTGGCCCTGAAGATTATAAAAGACGCATAAAATTGTCTAAGGAATATAAAGACTTATTGCGATTGAATAAAAAAAAAGGCTAAGGCTGCCAGGCAATAATTTATTTACTGTTAAACGTTTCCTTTTAACTAACAATTAAGGGGATAAATGAGATGCACAGTACGCATAGTAAAAAACATGACATTTGATAACTTTGATTTAATTATCCAATTTTCACGCAGAAGCATGATATTTTAATTTCAAAGATTAAATTTGCTATTGGTAGAAGATGCGTTTTCTTTAAATTCAGTTTGGGCAGATTCAAAACCGCGTTAACTTTAAGTTAGCAATTATTTGTTTCAATCTATAACTTCTTGATCCTGAAAATATAGGAGTAGGTAATTGCAATTTAAGAAAGTTAGTTTCGATAAAAAGATAGTAAAAGAAAGTTCGGTCTCTTAATGTTAATTTCAGTTATTGAGTATTTAGCTGCATGTCTGTAACTGTATAAGTGAATAAAAAGTTGTTTGCAAGCATTTATATAATTCGCTTCGCAAAATATAATTTCATGCAAAATATTAATTTTTTTATTTATAATTTTTTATTATTTAATAACTAATGGTTGAAAAGTTTTTGAATCACAAGATATAAAAATTTTTATCCCATTTCAAACAGTGCAACTTAGGAAGAAAATATGCAATATTTGAATTGTCCGATCTGTTTCTCAATAATAAAATTTTTAAAAAATCTTTAGTTCGAATTTTCAGTTCTATTCAATCAATACCTTTCAAATTTTGAATTAGACGTTCAAAATTACTTGGTATAAAAGTGAGTGTCTCATACAACTTTTTTATGAACCAACAAAAACTTTTCTCCTTATCAAATAAATAATTGTGAAAAATAATTTTTGCATAAAATTATGTTTAGTACAAGAAATGACGAAATAGGTACTCAAAATATAAAACTTAATTTTAAGGATCCCAAATTGTCAACCATGCTTTTTAAACTGTAGACTCATATTTTATAAAGATCCAGATCCGTTGAAAAAAATTTATGTTTAATAAAAGATAGTACGGGCTTGTATTGTCTGCACAAATTAGTAATAAAATTCCCTAGAATGATCGAGATTGCATCGTAATACGTAAACATTGATCACTATATAAAAAGCCATGAGGAAATAATCTTCTGATAATCACTTAAAATAATAATCCAATTTAGATTTTTAATTTTCACAAAAATGGTTGTCAGGAAAGTTGCGCGATTATTTCTAAAACACAAGAGTAAGTAATAAGTAATACTACTTATTAAAAATACGTAGAATATTCGAAGTGTATATTTAGTATATTTCACGGTGAGAAAAGTTCTGCAAAAATAGCAATACTTCTAATGGTAAAGACATTTATTTGAAAAAAAATTCACAATTCTAGCAATTTACATGGTATTCAAACCATTCATTTAGAACTTTTACTGATTATTATGATAATGGTTCATCGGAAATTCTGGTTTCCAAAATTATAGTTCTTATTAACAAACATTTAGTAACAAACACAAAACTGAAAAGTAAATTAAGCCAAATAATTAGCTTTTATGCCACGCTCTGAAATACCACGATAAAACTATCAAAATGATCTTTTGAACTTTCACTCATTTTATTGATTATTTGGCAAATTTAATTTTTTAACGTCTATGCCTCTTAGGAAATATAATAGTAATAATCTGTTTACATTTTAATACTTAGTTTAAAATGGCGGTTTCTTATTTTAATATAGTTTCTCAATTATAACAAAGAATCACGGGACATAAATTATGATTTCAAAGGTTTAATTAAAGAGTTTTAAAGAAACTAAACTCAGATATATCAAACTATGGTGACTGACTTATCCCTCTTTTATAGGAGGTAGTGAGATTTATTTATTCATTTACTAGGTGTGGTAAAATGGATATTCCCTATAAGATGAGCCTTTTGTCAGTTAGCACTTCTATCTAGAAATTGGTGCGAGATATGGATAAAAATTGCAAAGTTGTAAGTCATCTTTTATTTAGTGCAAACAGACGTTAGGATGTGCCAAAAAATCCGACTTTTTGTTTTCAAAAAGCTGTACAGTCCGCAAAAAAAAAAAAAAAAGATATCACCCTGAATAACTTTCGTTCTAATGATCCGATTTTCACGAACTAAGTGTCAATCTTAATGGTTCCTGGGGGTGACCTCAAATATGCTAATTAATTAGTGCTAACTATTAATTAAGTTACGAAATCAGACACAAAAACGTACTTTCTCTGAATAAACATATATTTTTTTTTACATATTTGGAATCTAGACACTTGAATTAGGGGGGGTAGACAAAATTTTAAAACAATTGGGTCGTAAATTGGGTTGCAATAAAGGTTTATATATTTGGCGATAGTCCAGAAAACCGCCAAAAAAAGTCGCCTGCGCAAATAAATATTTTAAGATAACCCATTGACTGATTCAAAAGAGAAACGCTTAATTTTACTAGGTTGCTA